AAGAAAGAAAGAAAGAAAGAAAGAAAGAAAGAAAGAAAGAAAGAAAGGAGAAAGTTAAAGAAATAAAGGAAAGGAGAGGAAAGGGGAGGGGAGAGAGGGGAAAGGAAAAAGAAAAAAGAAAAGACTCTCTACCATAACCCATGGATGGGAATGTGGGCTATGGGCCAGGAAACCATCCACAGCAGCCTTTATCCCCATAGCCTAGAGCTGAGATGGGCCCAGTCTTCATCACTGTCCTAGGGCCAGTGCACAAAAGCAAGAACCTGTTGGGAGGATTATACAAGCTCTAGAAAGGAAGCGGCCTCTCAGGTAGAAGGTACCTCCCTGAGGTCTGGGAGGTATGTTCCTGGGGTTAAAGGCACATTATTGGAGAAAGACCCCTGCATGTAGAAAAGGAAGGAATCTTCTCTGGCACCAACAGCAATGAAGTTTACTGATTGAAATCATCCTGAATCTGGGGAAAGGAGGGAGCTTTATACATAAATCTCTTCTAGTTTCTCGTTCTTAAATCATTTGACTTGTAGCTTATCTCTTTTTTTAGTCTCTTTTTAGTTCTTGGTTGAGTTGGTGGCTTGAATAGTAGAAAAAGGTTGGCAATAGAGGGGTAACGAAAGTGGGTGGATGGACCGTAGGAATCTGAGATCACGTGCTGTGGGTTGGCTTCAGGAGGTGAATGAGTTTCCTGCAGTGTTTGGCAGAGGCAGGCCTGGGGCTGCTATGCGGCAGGAGCTGATTCCCCAGAGAGAGCATGGCTAAGCGCTCACTGGCCCCCAGGGACACCAGCACCTGTGAGACAGAGAGCAGATGACAGAATAGGACATGCAGAAGACTCTCATTTGGCCCAGGAATTCCCACTCTAGTAAAGAAAGAAAAAGACAATGGGCCCCTGAGGAATCAATATAGATTCTGCGGGGAAAGAGAAACTTTGGAGAGAGGGCTCATCGAGACCAGAGGTCTACTGCCATTCTCTTCGGTTACACACCATGAAACTGAGGCACCGAGGGATCCATGCATTTGTCCCAGGAAGGGGTCATAAATGCAGCAGTGACAGTAAGTCAAAAAGTGTGATTCCTAGTCATGAATCTTGACCAATGGGTCTTAACCTCAGTACCACCAAGAGTCTCTTATATTATTTCCCCATATGGATTGCCAGAAAATCCCATAATTTACATCATCACCATCCTGTCAAAATTTCTGTTCTGCATGAACCAGCCAATGTTCCCACACTGCTTTATTATAATTTGGAGGTTTAGCCTTATCATAGGGAGATGTGTGATTCCCATTAGGCTACTTATGTCACAAGCAGAAAAAGCAGAATAAAGCAGTGGTTAAGGTATGGGCTCAGGACTCAGACCCTTGAGCTCAGAAGTCCAGTCCCCCAAACTAGCTTTGTAACTTGGGCACATTATTAAATCCTTAGTGCCTCAGTTTCCTCACCTGCAAAATGAGGAATATAATAGCTTAAACCAGGTAATAAAGGTAAAATGCTTAGCATGGCGCTTTTCACGTGGTAAGTGCTAAAAAAAAAAGAAAAAAGATAGCCCCTTCCCAGCCCCCAGAATGAAATCCCTCTAGACCTCAACATCACCTCATCTGGCCTCACCTCCTTCCCACATAGCCTCAAGAAGAGAGAACCCCTGGGCTTGGAGATCCTGGGAATTTGCCACTCATCGAAGCCCTCTCCCACATTCCTTCCCTTCTCCGGGGTGGGAGATGGTAGATGGCACACCCATCTCCAAGACACCGCCCATGGGTTTCCCAGCATCCCAATTCCTTAAAGGCTATCTCAGAAAAATGTCGTGAAATACAACCCCATCGTCATGGTCCGGAAGTCCCCAGGGGTGTACCTGATGGATGCAGGGCTCCTGTCGGAGGCTCCGGAGGGCAATGAGGGCGGCCTCCTTCACGTTTAGCTGGGGGTCTCCACAGGCCATCTCTAGGAGCCGCTGGGGTACTTGGCACTGTAACAGCTCCTCCCCCAACCCCTCAGGGCCCAAGTTGCCCAGAGCTGACGCGGCATTGCGCCGGATACCAGCCTGAGGATCTCCAAGTAGCTGGGTCACACTGGGTATCGCGGCTGCCAAGGCAGGTCCCAGGGGACCAGCTTGGTAGGCTGCGTTGCCCACGGCAAAGCTGGCACCGCGCCGCACGGCAGGGTCCTTGTCTCTAAGCCCCAGCAGCAGAAGGTTGAGCAGCCCAGCCTGGCTCTGCAGTGCCCCACGCACAGCCATGCTGTATTGCAGCAGGTGGCCCAGGAGCCCATAAGTGCGGGCCCGCACAGAATTCTCTGGGTGGCCCAGGAGGCTGCGCAGGGGCCGATAGGATTCATCAGGGCCAGCCAGGAGTTCTTGGATGAAGGACAAGTGGCTGGGGGACAGTACTCGGGCTGTGTGGGCCAGCAAGGAGAGAATGTCAGAGGTCAGCAGCGGCTGGTCACCCAAGAGGGCAACTGAGAGGAAGGAGATGATGGTTCTAGGGGAGGCAGCCACTGTGTTCACAAACTGGTTGAGAGAGGTGGAATCCGTGAGGGCCAGGTGTGTGAGGAGGCTGACAGGCAACTCAACTTGCGTCAACGGAAGATGGTGGCAGCAGACCTGGGAGAAGGGATAGAGGAGCAGGCAAAGTGGTTCAGGGAGAGGAAGAATTCACCGCAGCGAGGTAGCTAGAAGGGGCCCAAGCTCTGGCCAAGAGAAAAGCCAAGCTATGCTGAGAAATACCACAGAGAGCTGGAAGACCTGACCCGAGCCCTCCACGTGAGACTGTGGAGCCCAAGAGAACAGGTGCAGGATCATTCCTTGCTCTGCAAGGACTCAGGCTCTCTGCCTTCAAAAACCCACTGCTGAATGCCAAGGATTGCACAGAAGTGACTCCTGGCTGAGGAGCTGAGTCTCCCTGCCCAGACTGGGATGTTCTCCCCACAGAACTTCAACAGATCCAGATGAGGGACAGATGGAGACGAGAGGCGCCAGCCCCAGCTCCAACTAGTGCTTCTGCTCGGGCCTGAATGCTTTCTCCACTCCAACGCTTACATCAAGCCAGATGCTCCACTCTTCCAGGGGCTCAGGGGAGCCCTGGAGCTGTTGGGAAGTGAATTACAATACACGAGGTCGGCCATCTTCCTCCTCCACCTTCACGCCTGGTGGCTTTCCCAAATACCTGCAGCAGGCAGGCTGTGACTTCTGAGTCCACGAAGTCAGCTAACACACCTCCAAGGAGGTCGGCATCCACATCCAGGGCGAAGGGGAAGCAGAGGAGCTGGCAGACAGAGAGCACCACGACGGGCAGAAACCCAGACCCGTGAGGCCTAAAGAGGGCAGAGTGGAAGGATTTACTCGGTTTTACTCACCCACCCTTTATTATTCTCTGCCCCCTTCTCAAATCCCCAAGTCCAGCGCCCCTTCTCCAACCTCACCAGTCCTATTTCTGGCCTCGTAGCTCAAGCTGTCAGCTACGGCTCTCCTGCCCACCCCTCCCCACCGCCACACTGCAGACTGTCTGGACAGTCTGGTCTCCCTCCTCTAGCTCGAACTCACGCCCGGCCCAGCTGACGCAGGAATCGGGGGGAAAGCAGGTGCTTCAGGGTGGTCATGAGGATACTTCCACGTTGAGACAGGTGGCTCAGGCATAACTGGGGCTCCTGGGTGAAGGTGGCCACGGCCAGGCTCAGCAGGGCTGCCATGCCTGGAAACACCGAGAATGGAGACCCAGTGGTGCAGGAAGGGCCCCGGATGCTCCAGCTTCTCCAGGGCCCCCACCTATTTAGTCCCCTTTCCATCCAGCGCAGTCTGTGCCATCCTCTCCCCAGGGGGCAGCGGCTGCAATCTCTGTGGGCTAACCCAGTTCTAGGCTGCCTCCTCTTGAAAAGGATCAAAGGAGGCCATGCTTATGGAAAGATACCTTGGGGTGAGATCAGCGTCCAGTCTGGCTCTGGGCTTTGTGATGGCTGTGATTCCTGTGGAGACATCTCCTCGGGGAGCCTTAGAGCCATGGAGAAGCGGTGCCATAGAATGGTCCACATTTCTGAGCTAGCCACGTCCCTTATTGGGCTACCCTTCCGTGGCTGGAGATGAAATTGAAGGAGGGTGGGTAGGGAAGTCAAAGTCAGGTATCAAATGCCTTTTTCTTTTCTTTTTTCTTTTCTTTTCTTTTCTTTTCTTTTCTTTTCTTTCACTCTTATCCCTGACCTCTAAGGAAAGGGAGTCCCAGAAATAATTCCTCTGTTTTCCCAACAATGTGGGATTTCCCTGTTGTCTTAGTTACCTTTCTTATCACATCTTAACCCACGCAAGTGTCTGCTAGAAACCAGGGAATTACAGCTCTCCTCCTCACTGAATCCTGGGATGCAGCTGGGATTCCCCAGAAAGGGTCCACGATGAGGGCAGGGGGGCCCTTTTGAAGGTAATCACGGCCACCATATTTGACAGAAGAGGCAAGTGTGGGTTGCTTCTTCATTCCCATCGTCTAGCGGTTCATCAAAATGCCTAGTTTGTCTCTCCTGCCTTCCCATCCAACCTAGGATGCACCTGTACCTGGGTGAGAAGCTGCAGCAGCAGGATGAGGAGGCCGTCATAGAATCCACAGCCACCTGGTGGAGTCAGCCGGACCTGACAGAGAGAGGCAGGAAGAATGCAGATCCCCAAGAGAGATGAAGGGGCCTCACAAACCCATGCCTGCAACTCCTGGTCAGGCAGAAAGAGCTTGTCCTCTGCCTGGTGTAGTGGGGAAAGCTCTCCTGGACTTACACAAGTCCTGGTTCCTGACTATTCATTCAATGACTACCTCTGCTCTAAAGACACATCATCTGGTAGGGTCGGAAGACACTTGCCACACAAGAGGCTGGGGTTGGGGTGGGGGTGGAGACACAGTTGAGAGTGCCTAACTCTGCCTTCTGGAGGTAGAACACCGATGAATTAAAAGTTCAAAAAGCAGTCAAGAGAAGGAGGTGGTAGGAAGGGACAGCATTCCTTGTAGCATAAATGAAGGCAGGTCATGAAAAATGATAGTGAATTTTGGAAGTGGTAACTCCGGGTATAGCAGGATTATAGAGCCCAGAGGTAACAGATGAGCTTTGAGGAGAAGGTAAAGGAGTCTGGACTTTATCCCGGAAGCAATGGGAAGCCACTGAGCTCCACAAGCTCCACGTGGGCAAGATTTTCGTCTGTTATTCACTGCTGTAGTCTCAGAACCCAGAATAGCGTTCGGTACTCAATAGATACTTCTGTGCTAAATACTTGAACAAATGACTAGACTTTTAAGAAAGCTCACCCTGGTGGCAGTGAAGAGAATAGACTGGAGAGGAGAGAGCCTAGAATAGAGATCCTTCAGCGGGCAAGCGCCACAGTGCAACATAGATGGTGTGCACACAAACTAAGGCAGGGCAGTGATGGTGCCAGGTAAAAAAAGATCTGAGACAACAGGAAGGAGGAACACATGGGACCTGGGGGAACCATCTAGATGGGGGAATAATGGAGCAGAGAACACAGTCTATGATGACTCCCAGATTTCTGACTGGGGCTCCTGGATGAATGTGAGTGTCATCACTACTGGTACCACCTCTCTGAAGTTCAACTTTACCTAGAAAAAGCAGGTGAGTCTCATTACATTTCATGCGTCTCTCTTTCAAGTGTGTTGTAAGATAAGATGTGAGGTGCTTTCCAAATTATAAAGAATTCTGCATCTATAAGGATGATGATCATTTGAATACGAAGTCTATCCTTATTACAAAATGAAAGAAATAGGGGTTCCAAAGTACCTAAAAAGGAGAGGTGGGGGGAAGGCCCGGAAAAGGAGAAAGCAGAAAGGAGGCTACACAATGGACTGGATTCCTCAAGAGTTCTCGGGATGCCAGCCACCTTTTCCATTTCAGTTAAGGAGAAGGAGGGGGGACAGGGAAGCCAAACTGTAGTCAGAGGGGAAGAGATTAAGCTTTTGAAATGACCCTAACAACAGGGGCAGGAGCTTCTGCGGGAGGAGACTAAAGTAGGCAGGAAGATCTCATCCTCCAGTAGGTAACTCGGGTCCCCCTCCCTCTGTCCCTCTTTGGAAGTGCCAGCCCAGTCTGGGCTCAGAGAAGCTGTCATCTGGGGGCAGACAGGGAGGAAATGAACGACTGCTTAGTTTGCCCTAGCCAAGCTGGCACTTCAGTCTTGCCCCCAAGTGGAGTCCTGGGTCTGACTCAGTGAAAATGTTGTCTGTGCCCTCTCCGGTATACCTCACCTCTGCAGGGGCAGACAGAGCGTGTGAGGCTGCAGCAATCCACTCCACAGGCTGGAGGTCAAAGGTCACCCCTTGCTGACCAAGTTGACCCAACAGGCAGGCTGCTGCACTCTGGGGAATTAGAGGAAGAGAAGGAATGTCTGAATCTGCCCAGTAGTCACGACAGGCAGAGAAGATTTATGTCTCTGGCCCAGAAGAATGCCTCATAACCACCTCTTGATGAGAGTGATGCCCGTGCACCCTGCAGGCCTGGGTGGCAGGGTGAAAAGGGGAAGGAGGGGAAAACTGAAAACTCACCACGAGAGAGACAACGTGTGAATGGGTAAAGAGAGTAGCAATCTCATTGCCTAGCTTCTCCATTCTGGAAAAAGAAGATTCATCAAAGGATGCACCAAATGAAAGGAGGCTAGGGAGTGGACTCCCTCCCCGCTGGATGGCACTCTCCACACGGCTGCATGACCATTGCTCCAAGGCACAAAGTTGGTAGGAATCTAGGTCTGTTCTGTTCTGTGTAGAGAACATCCCCATCCCTTCTATCCCCATCCCTTCTGAGGATAGGCTGTAAGGTGCCATTCCCCATATTCTACGTCAGGGTGAGCTATCGGGAGGGAAGATTCCAGTGGACAGAACCTACTTCAGGCTTACCCAGACGGCAGATCTTGCAGCCGAAGGACAAGAAGGGAGAGGAGGTAGAGTGCCACCTCAGTAGACTCTTCCCAATCTACTACCTTTACCTACAAAGGAAACCAAAGATATCAGAGCAACTTCTGATTGAGACAGTAGGGCCACCACGATATACTTGCCTGTGTTCCTGGCCTACCTTGCCCTGGACCAGCATCAACAGTGACTCCAAGGCCAGGGGCTCTTGCCCTAGCAGATGGCACAGGCGCTCACTGACATGGCAGCATGAGTAGAGAACCTAAAGGAGTGGGAAGCAGTCTGTCAGTGAAGCCGAGCAGCCCCTGGGTTCCTGGATCAGAAGGCTCAGCTGAGAAGCAGGCTATCCTCTCCGCAGATCTAGTGTCCACACCGGGGCAATTTGAGAAGTTCAGGCCAACTTCCGCCTCTTTTTGCTATAAGACGGTGAGATAGGGCTACTGCTCTATTCTAGTGAGGACTGGCTAACAGTGGGGCCATCTCAGGTCGAACAGACTGAAAAGCAGAAAGGGACCCTCTGGGGTCTCTTGTCTCTCTCAGTGTCTTTCTCTCTTGGTCTTGGGGGTTAAAAAGAAATCTGAAGTCCCAAGAGTTCTCGACAGGCAGTACCTTGAGAATGTGTAGGCACAGGATGGGATGCCGCAAGCCAGAGATAAGGGACGGTCTCAGTTGGTTGTTGTCCTCGGTGAGCTGATTCGCCAAATGCTGAGAGATCTGTAGGGACATACTTGAAGCCTCAACCCCATTCCCATATTCCAATCCTGTTCCTCTCATGTCTCCAACTACTCAGGGTTCTCAACCCCTTGCTAGCCACTCTTCCTCAGGTTCACCAGGAACCTCAGATCCCATTCTATTCCCAGTCTTCATGGCCAAAGAAGAACCAAAAGTCATGGCCTAGTTTAGCCCTAATAGAGACAGGTATAGAGGAAAGTGTTGCTGGCCAAAAGGGAGCAGGAAATCTAAATCCTGAGCCCTTGAGGCAGCATCACAGGTAGCTTTGGGTCAGCTACCCTACCACATGGGCAGTTTCTCAATGAGCTCTCTAGCCAGCTGGCCAAGGGTTCTGGGATTTTGGCGACATCGTGTTCAACAAGTGGCCAGATTACCAGACCCAGGTGGAAGCATCTGTTTCTGGAAGTACAGAGTAAGGGGAAGGAAAAATGCTTGTTTTTCTGCCTTTCTGAGAAGCTGAGGCCAGCCTCATCTCCAGCAACATGGATGAGAGGAAATCAGAAACTGCAGCTCAGACCTGCTCCTTGGCTTCCCAGCAGCTGGGCAGCCCCACAGGAGCAGTGCATATGGCTGCCAGTGCAGAGGACATGGCTCCAGGCAGGTCATCACTCTGCTCCCGTAGTGGCTGGCTCACTTGGGGGGCTCCTATGGAGAAAAGCAAAGAACGCAGGGTGGAGTCTGATTGTTTGTCTCGGATCCCCATTCATTCTTTCAGTGCACAATTAGTTGCTGAGCCCTCACTAAATGCCAGGCACTCTTCGAGGCAATGGCAGTCGGGAGGGCACAGCTGGAGTTACTCAGAAGTCAAGAGAACCTCCGCTCCCTACTCTGGTTACCTGGGGGTGTGTGGAAAGGGAGCTGGGGAACTGTCAGGCCACGAAGGAGCCCATCCAGCACAGCCCGCTGGGTAGTCAGCAGGCTGGAGTAAAAGGCTTTGGAGATGGTCCGGCTGTTCCCATCCATGGCTTCACACAGAACAGTAAAGCACTAAGGGAGACAAGGGCGGCATTAACATTAGGGCAGCAGAAAACTGACTGGGTTTAGGGTAAGGAGCAAGAATCCCCCCAGAAAACCTGAGAATAAAGGAGAAAACCCAGGGGGACCAGCTGTGGCATTCTAAGTATTCCTCACACAGAAAATGCATTATAATCAATTGCCTTCACATTTCAAGGATGGCAATTTTAGGTTATCAATCCTATTCTCTGATCAGCTGCTTCCTAGATGATGTTTCTCAAAGTGTTATCTGTAGTCCATGAGTATGAGAATTCCTGGGGATTCCTGGGTGCCTTCCAACCCAGTCTTACTGATTCAGAATTTCAGGAGGTGGGGTGTTTATTCCAAACTTCCTATGCACTCACTGCACAGTGACATATGACAAATGCTGGCCAATAATGTGAGTCACTGATGGCCAAAGTTTAGGCTAGACGTTGAAAGCTTCCTGACTTGAAAGGATGAGGGAGGTTAAAATAGGCTCTCAGACTAGAAGAGTTCGAATGGACTGCTCACTGGAGGCAGAAATGAAGCCCAGATCTGTGTTCCCAATTGCCAGTCTGAACAATGGCTAGGCAACTGTTTATTTCCTTGCTCATGTTCCTCCCTAAGTGTCCCCTTGGAGATCAGTCAGAACTCCGCTATCTTCTCATTCAATCTTCTATTCTCCTGTCCCTCATTTCCAGAGTCCAGGGGTGAGAACCCACTAGCTTGCTAGTCGTAGGGCAAATACATTTGGGAAATACTAGTCCATCTGCAAGTCTCTTCAAAAAGAAATACTTCTAGGGGCGCCTGGGTGGCTCAGTCAGTTAAGCATACGACTTTGGCTCAGGTCAAGATCTCACAGTCCGTGGGTTCAAGCCCCTCATTGGGCTCTGTGCTGACAGCTCAGAGCTTGGAGCCTGCTTGAGATTCTGTGTCTCCCTCTCTCTCTCTGCCCCTCCCCCACTCATGCTCTGTCTCTCTGTCTCTCAAAAATGAATTAAAAAAGCATTAAAAAATTTAAAAAAAAAAAGAAGAAATACTTCTATTTGTAGTTCCCTGAAACAGGCCACAGTCCTTAATGCCTCTGGGCCTTTGTAAATGCTGCTCTTTCTGCTTAGAACGTCCTCCCTACTTTCTGCCTCACCCACCCAGCAAACTTCTACGCATTCTTCGAATCCTAGCAAAGATGATTTCCTTTGAGATTTCTTCTATGACTCCCCAAGTAATATTAATCATATCTTCTTCAGTGGTGCTTCTGTACTTTATACAAGTTTTATACAAGTTCTAATGTACTTTTCATGCTGTTGTCCTTGATCATTTTTCATCTCTCCTACTAGACTACTAGTCCCTTGACAATGGGGACCTTCTCGTACTCAAGTGGCATAAGGCACACAGTAGGTATTCAATAAATGTTTGTTCTATTACTTTGATCTAACCCTCTATAGTTATAAGAAAGGGAAAGGGAGAAACATGGAAAGATATCAGAGACAGAAATCTGGACAAGGGAGCAGATTACCATAAGGCTATCCCTCCTTAGAGTCTGCTCAGAGTCATCTGGTTGGGCCAGCAGTTTCCCCAACAGGTCCAAAAAGAGGTTGGCGGCCTCCTGAAACACCTGTAGGCTGGGAAAAAATAGCCCATCTCTCTAAAAGCCCACGTGAGGTAAACGTCAGTTCTGCAGGTAGGAGAATCTGTGCAAAGGAATATATCAGAATGCTCCTTCCCCTCCCCCCACTAAACACACACAGAGTCTTACATACCCTCCAAGACCTTTCTTTGCCATTTTCTCTACGTTACTTAAATTGTGACCCTTCCATTTAGTGTATGGTGACCCTTAGAACCTCAAAGTCTTGGGGTGAACTTAGAGTGGTCTCGGTCCTTAAGAGAATCAGGGGATCCCTAACCTGTTGCTTTCTCCTCACTTAGCCTCTTCCTAATAGAGGAAGGAAGAATTGGGGGTAGAAATTGAAGCCAAAGTGGCCAACAGAGCAAAGCTGGCTCTCATCCCACCTGTCACCTGTCTGGCTCCTCTCCAGATTGAAGGTGCAGGCAAAATAGGCCTGAATCACAGCCATCAGGTGCCGTAAGAAGGTCCCATACCAACATTGCTGTCAGGGAAGAGGACGGAGAATATGGGCAATGTAGACGAAGAGAAAAGGCAGTGAAAAAGGTGTCAGATATCCAGTCAGGCTGACCAAACAGGGAGGCTTCTGGACAGAAAGAGGAAATCTAGAGGTAACAAAGGGGCAGACAGGGGGCTGTAAACAGCCTGTATCTTGCTTGGCCAGAATAGCATTTAGGAGTTAAGGAGGCTCTATTTTTCAAATAGCTCAAATTCCTTTCTAAATTCCTTAGAAACATTCAAGGTTAACACTCACCAGCAGGATGCAGCTTCCCGTTAAACATTTCAGTGTTCTGTCCTCTCAGCTCAGCCACAGCAGAATGCAGCGTGGGGTAGCACAGATCTGGCCTCAGACACCCTGAGCCTCATGCCTACCTCCTCTGTTTATCCTACCTCCTCCATTTATTGTCCCTGTGGCCATTTACAAGCTAATGCTGGTGTGTAAGTTGATTAATCCCTGAATTTCAGTACTCTGTTCTATAAAAGCAGGTCAATTAAAACCTAGGATTTAATATTCCAAACCACAGTGCTCTAAATATTGGGAAATTGAGCATAAAAATCTGGGTTTCTAGCTTCTCTTAGAAAACTGGAAGATCTGGCAACACGGGGCCCGTGTTCTCATGTGGCAACAGTGAGCTGAAGCTGAGGGCATGTCCCATTCAGATTGGGCACAAGATCTCCGGTCTGTCGTCTTCCCCACTACTCTCATACAGTCACACAGAGTCTACCTCCCTGACTGACGGGATCTGCCTGGCATCAGAAGGCAGTGGAGTATGCAACTCGCGGTCTACTAACCGGAGAGGAGAAAAGAAAAGAAAAGGCAGTGGGCCGAATAGAGATGGCACTTTGAAGAAGAGAAATCCAAGGAGCAGAAAGTCCTGGAAGTCTTTCAAGGCTACTGGCCTACTGCTTACCTGCTGGATACTGTTGCTGTCCTGGCTGTGTCTGAGCAGGCTGAGCAGCAGCCCGGGGAGCCCTGCCTCACGACAGAAGGAGTACAAGAGAACAGAGTCGCTGCAGCTGGACAGAAGACTGCTCAAGACCCGGAGTGCAGGAAGGATGTGGGAAGCACCCTCCAGCATGCCTTTCAGGATCTGGGCGACATGAGGGAAAGAGACAGTAATCGATCTTATCAGAGGGAAAAGGAGTCACAAATACTAATTGTCCCCAAGGAGTTGGCAAAGCAGACCAATGTTCTCATTCCTTTCTTTGGGACTCTAAAACCCAAAGAAGGAGAATAGAGAAAAAGGGAAGCAGTAACAAGGAAGAAGAATATAGATATAGATGGTCAGGTCACTTGACTTACAACAGTGGTGACCAAGGGACAGGGGACCTTCCTCAGAATCTCCGTCAGGCCCAGTGCCATTCCTATCTGCTCCCTTCCTTCTCCAGCCTTTAACTTTAAAAAACATATGTATGTGCCCACACGCACTTCCAAAGATTAAACACAATGGACGCAAAACAGTGTCATTCAACTCCAGACAGGTAAAGCAATATCATCCAACTCTAGATCAGGACTTGACTAACTATGTATGACCTACAGGCCAAATCTAGCCTGCCACTTATTTTCATATAGCCTACAAAGTAGGGTCAGTATGATACTTTGAAATGGCTATTCTTTAAAAGGTTACTCTTTAGGGGCGCCTGGGTGGCTCAGTCAGTTAAGCATCCGATTCTTGATTTCGGCTCAGGGCATGCATGATCTCAGTTTCGTGAGATTGAGCCCCGCGTCGGGTTCTGTGCTGACAGCGCAGAGCTTGCTTGGGATTCTCTCTCTCTCTCTCTCTCTCTCTCTCTCTCTCGTCTCTCTGTCCCCCCACCTCAAAAATAAATTTAAAATTTCTAAAAAATAAAAGGATACTCTTCAAAAGAGAGTAATGTTTACATCAAGTGCTTTATCATATGCCATTCAGTGTTTCTAAATCTTTTCACTTATTTGCTCATTTACTCTTTACAATAACCCTGTGCAGGCAATTAACCATTTTGCACTAAAGCTTCTAGATAGGTTAAGTAAGGAGTCAATAATCACACAGCTAAAGAGTAGTTCAGATGGGGGCGCCTGGGTGGCTCAGCCAGTTGAGTGTCTGACTCTCAATTTTGGCTCAGGTCATGATCTCACAGTTCATGGGATAGAGCCCCATATCTGGCTCCGTGCTGACAGCACAGCGCAGAGGCTGCTTGGGATTCTCTCTCTCTCCATCTCTCTGTCCCTCCCCCCACTAGTGCTTTTTCTCTCTCTCTCTCTCTTTCTTTTTTTTTAAATTTTTTTTTCAATGTTTATTTATTTTTGGGACGGAGAGAGACAGAGCATGAACGGGGGAGGGGCAGAGAGAGAGGGAGACACAGAATCGGAAACAGGCTCCAGGCTCCGAGCCATCAGCCCAGAGCCTGACGCGGGGCTCGAACTCCCGGACCGCGAGATGGTGACCTGGCTGAAGTCGGATGCTCAACCGACGGCGCCACCCAGGCGCCCCTCTCTCTCTTTCAAAATAAATAAATAAGCATTAAAAAAAACTTTTAGAAAAAACATAGGAGGAAATCTTTCTGACTCTGGGTTTGGAAAAGATGTCTTCCACGTAACACCAAAAGCATAATACACAAAAAGAAAAAATGGTAATTGAATGTCATCAAAATTCAAAACCTTTGTGCTTCAAAAGACACTCTTATGAAAATAAAAAGACAAATCATAGACTGGGAAAAAATATTTGCAAATCACATATCTGATAAGGGTCTTTTATCCAGAATATACAAAGAATTCTTATAACTCAAGAAGACAGAACCCAATTTACAAATGAGCAAAGGACCGAAGAGCTATTTCACCAAAGAAGATACACAAATGGCTAATAAGCACATGAAAAGACACTCCACATTAGTCATTAGCAAAGTGCAAATTAAAATGACAATAAGCCATTATTTCACACTCACTAGAGTGGCAGTGATAAAAAGACAATAATACAAGCTGGCAAGAATGTGGAGAAATGGGGCCCCTCATACATTGCTGGCGGGAATGTTAAATGATGCAGCCACTTTGGAAAATAGTTTAGTAGTTTCTTAAAATGTTGAATATAAATCACCATCCAACCCAGCAATCCTAGGTATCCACAGAAGAAAAATGAAAACATATATCCACAAAAATACTTCCATATGAATGTTCATTGCATTATTATTCATAAAAGCCAAAAAGTGGTGACAATTCAAATGCCCATCAACTGATGAACGAAGAAACAAAATGTGATATAGCCATATGACAGAATTCTAATGAGAACGAGCAATAAAAAGGAATGAAGTATTGATATGTCACAAGAAGAAGGAACCTCAAAAATGTTCCGCTAAGTGAAAGGAACCAGATGTAAAAATTGGGTATTGGGGTGCCTGAGTGGCTCAGTCAGTTGAGTGTGCAACTTTGGCTCACGTTGTGATTTTGTGGTTCCGTGAGTTTGAGCCCCACATTGGGCTCTCTGCAGTCAGTGTGGAGCCCACTTTGGATTCTCTGTCTCCCTCTCCCTGCCCTTCCCCTGCTGGTGCGTGCATGTGCTCTCGCTCTCTCTCTCTCTCTCTCTCTCTCTCTCTCAGAAATAAACATTAAAAAAACAACAAAGAAAAGAAAAAACCAAACTGTGCACTGTATGATTACATTTATGTGAACTACCTGGAACAGGCAAATCTATGAGACAGAAAGTAGATTAGGGGTTGCCTGGGACCAGGGCTTTGGGAATGATAATGACTTGTAAATGGGTATGAGGGATCTTACTGGGGAGATAAGAATGTTCTAAAACTAGATTATAGTGATGGTTTCACAACTTGGTAAATTTCCTAAAAATCATTAAAAAAAAAAAAAAAAAAACGGCGCCCGAGTGGCTCAGTCAGTTGAGCGTCCAACTTCAGCTCAGGTCATGATCTCACAGTTTGTGAGTTCGAGCCCCATGTCGGGCTCTGTGCTGATGGCTCAGAGCCTGGAACCTGCTTCAGATTCTGTGTCTCCCTCTATCTCTGCCCCTCCCCCACTCATGCTCTGTCTTAAAAATAAATTAAAAAAAAAAAACATTAAAAAAAACTTTAAAGAAAATAGAAGGAAAGAAATGCAGGCAACATATTCTGGCTAGTTCCCAGGAAGGAAGATCATGGTGTTTCAGAAAACGAAAGGCTTAAATTATGGAAAAAGCCTAAATGTCCATCAACTGATGAATGGATAAAGAAATTGTGGTTTATATACATAATGGAATACTACGTGGCAATGAGAAAGAATGAAATATGGCCTTTTGTAGCAACGTGGATGGAACTGGAGAGTGTTATGCTAAGTGAAATAAGTCATACAGAGAAAGACAGATACCATATGTTTTCACTCCTATGTGGATCCTGAGAAACTTAACAGATGACCATGGGGGAGGGGAAGGAAAAAAAAAAGGTTAGAGAGGGAGGGAGCCAAAACATAAGAGACTCTTAAAAAACTGAGAACAAACTGAGGGTTGATGGGGGGTGGGAGGGAAGGGAAAGCGGGTGATGGGCATTGAGGAGGGCACCTGCTGGGATGAGCACTGGGTGTTGTATGGAAACCAATTTCACAATAAATTTCATATTAAAAAAAAGTTAAAATTAAAATTAAAAAAAAGGAAAGGCTTTGTAAGAAAGAACACTATGAATACCAATTAAGCAAAATATTATTCCTCAAAAAAGAATCTCATTCTTCTCATTAGTATACCTATATTAGAAAATATTGTATACTTATTTTTAACTTACTTAAATTTTTTTAAAATTTCTGATTTAATTAATATTTTTAATTTAATCAAGAAAGATTTCATGGAAAAGCGCTTTCTCTCACTATGGAAGTACTAAATAATACCCTCCATTTTTGCCTCTTGCTCTTCAATGCCTAAAACGTTTACCATCAGTCTGCCGACCCCTGCTCTAGGTGAATGCTCTTCCCTTCCGAAAAAGAACCCAATGGGGCACCCGGGTGGCTCAGCTGGTTAAGCATCTGACTTCGGCTCAGGTCATGACCTCACGGTTCATGAGTTCGAGCCCCACATCAGGCCCTGTGTTGATAGTTCAGAGCCTAGAGCCTGCTTCGAGTTCTATATCTCCCTTTCTCTGCCCCTCCCCCACTTGCACTCTCTCTCTCAAAAATAAACATTAAAAAAAAAAAAGAAAGAGAAACCTAAGGCCTGTTCTTTCTGTGTCACTAAAGGAGGTTAGCAAATATTGAATTAAATAGATGGATGATTGCAAGAGAATTGGAAAGGGACAAGCTTTCTTTTTCTCCTTATGTTTTTAATACCTCATCTGTGATTAAAATAGTCTAATCCCATCCACAGTATCCTTCTGCCCGTTACCTGCCCTCCTGCCTCGCGCAGCTGACCCTGGATGCGCTGGCAGAAGTCAGGATTGCACAGCAGAGTGAGGGGGGCCTTCAGCTGGACAGGCACAGGGTCAGCGGTCTCTAGCAGGTGCTGCCACTCATCATCGCTGTCGGGCTCCTGAGGCATAGGGGAACGAACAAGGTCAGAAGTGTGTAAGGTTCAAGGGTAGTAGCCCTCAACCTGCAGAATCATGGAGTAAATGCAAGAACCAGGGAATCCTTCAACACAGATGTATTTGCTTCAACCACCGGTTTAAAAAGGTATAGTTTGGCAGTATGTGAGGGGTCTTGAAAAGTCTCTTGGAGAACACTGGCATGTGTTCATAAAGAGGTACCTACAATATGTCCATTTATAATTTTAAAAAATTGGCAATGTCATAAAGGCAATCAGTAAGGGAATAATAAATCATGGCACATCCATATTAAGAAATATGATGAAGTTATTAAAAAGATTATAGTGCTCGGGCGCCTGGGTGGCTGAGTCGGTTAAGTGTCCGAGCGTCCGACTTCAGCTCAGGTCATGATCTCATGGTTCGTGGGTTCAAGCCCCATGTCAGGCTCTGTGCTGACAGCTCAGAGCCTTGAGCCTGCTTCAGATTCTGTCTCTGTCTCTCTGCCTCTCCCCTCCTCATGCTCTGTCTGTCTCTCTCTCTCAAATATAAAATAAAAAAACAAAAACAAAAACAAAAATAGAAAAAAAAGATTATAGTACTGAGGACACATCACTAATGTAGTATTCTGACCAAAACTACATAAATGAATTTAATCATGAGAAAGTATCAATTTGAGGAACATTCTCCAAAATAACTGGCCTGTGTACCCCAAAACTGTCAGTCACGAAAGACAAAGAAAGACTAGGAACTATTCCAGATTAAAGGAAACTAATGAGATATAACAATGAAAGCAATGCATAACCCTGGATTGGATCATGGACCAGGAAAAATTTTTTTTTGCTATAAGGAATAGTACTGGACCAATTGGCAAACTTTGAATATGGATTATAGATCAAGTAGCAGAATTGTATCAATGTTAAATTTCTGGCTTCTGTAATTGTACTGTAGTAGTGTAGGCCAAGGATCTTGTTCTTAACCAATGTGCACTAAAGTGCTTAGGGGTAAAGGGACATGATTGCATCTTACCCTAAAATGACTCAAGAAAGAGGATACACCCTTATATAAGCAGACATATACAGAGAGAAAATCATAAAGCCACTGTGGCAGAATTTGAAGAGTTGGTGAATCTGGATGAAGGGCATACAGGAATTCTTTGTGGTATCCTCACAATTATTCTTGAAGCTTGAAACTATTTCAAAATAAAAAGTTAACTACCCCCCCCCAAAAAAAAAAGCCAGAAAAGATTAAGGTAGAATTATATGTTCAGATGTAGAAAGATCTCCAAAATGGATCATCTGGTAAGAGAGGCATGATGCAAAACAGTGCATGTAGTGTGAACTCAATAACATTAAAATAGTCAAACTACAGATTTCTATGTATGCGTATACATACATGTAGAAGTGCAAACGTTTGGAAAAAGAAAGACTAAACTAATAATGGCAGACACCTCTGGAACTGGGGTAAGACGCAAGAAGGACTTCCATTTCTACCCATGTGTTCCAATTTTTGATAATTACATGTTTATACTGTGCAATTAAAAATCTACACATTAATAGTAAGAAAGCAATTTTTAACACCAGGGGAGCTTGTTCTTGGATGGTTGGGAATCACTGTTCTAGAAAAACATGTACCCAGACCCAACATCTGATAGCAAGGTCAAGGCCAAGAGGGGCCCCCACAGCTCACCTCATTTTCTAGGTCCACTGCATCAATGCTCTGCTGGCTCACCACCTCTGGCCTCAGCTCTAGGAGAGCTGGTTCAGAATCCTGGCTGATCTGGTTTTCCCTGCCAGAGGAACAGGGAACAGGAAGAGTTCCAGACCTGCGAGACTTAGGGTTCATCTACATATTCCTCTCTCTAGGCCCAAGATACGAATGAAAAACGAGCCACATAGGACTGGATAGAAAAGAGCTTTCTTCTAGGATATGGCAGGACAGGATGTTGACCACTACACATATCCTTGACTGCCCTTCCACTCTGAACCTTACTCTCAAGCCTACCTTGGCAGTTTTCACCTGTAGTTCTCAACTCAAATATCTTCCCTTTTACATGGAGACAATTCTTTCCTTCTCAGTTAATGTACAACTGAGGCATAAAGAAAGGAAAATTCCCATTGCCACTGATGAATCAGGAAAGTATCCAGAATCGGAATTCAAGAACACAGGACCTGGATTCCGAGGGCCCTGTCCATACTTAGGTGGTGGCTAGTGATAGACACCATTTTGTATTTGTTTTGACTAAAACCAAAGATCTTCAAGGGACCTCCATCTATAAACCCCTGGCTAGCCCCTCCTCACCGAGGTACAGGGGGGGTCTCTCCAGCCCCCCACTCAGCCCAGCTGTTCTTCATTTCTGAGGCCAAGATCCCAGCCAAGAGGCCTGGTTCCTGAGGAGTGGCTCTTGGTCTGGGCAGAGGGGCTGTGCCAGAAGCCATCTTGCTGGTCCTGTCCTCTTGCTCAAGGGCAGGTCCTGTGTTCCGGTGTTTCTGTGGGAAATGGGCAGGAGACACACTGAATCAAAACTATTTGGTTGTGGGGTGGGCTGCCTGGGTGGCTCAGTGGGTTAAGCATCTGGCTCTTGGTTTTGGCTCAGGTCATGATCTTGTGGTTCCTGAGTTCGAGCCCTGCATCAGGCTCTGAGCGGACAGTGTGGAGCCGGCTTGGGATTCTCTCTCTCTCTCTCTCTCTCTCTCTCTCTCTCTCTCTTTCTCTCTGCCCCTCCCCTGAGCATGCCCTTTCTCAAAATGAAAAAATTTAAAAACAAAACAAAATCATTCATAGGTATGAATGGTACCTACTCAGAGGGCAGAATGAAACCTATTCATGGCCCTTTCTCAACCTTCCTTCTCCAATTCTCTCAGTCACTAGGCTGGTCATGTCACATATTCCCTTCTGTCCACATACCTTCTGCTTGGCCTCCTCAGCCATGTGTTTACAGGCTTGTCGCAAGATTCGAGAACGATTGCCCTTGGGGGCCAGCTGGTGTGCCTGTTGGTCCTTTAGGACCTGAAGTTCTGGGGGTAGGCGACTGGTGAATGGGGTACCCAAATCTGGGCCTGCTGGTTCAGTTATTACTGTAGGGAAGAAGAGGGAGAATATGTGATCACACTGGGGCTGCACCACCATCTCCACTTGGCCAGAGACAACTTCAGTGTCCTCAGGCTTCTGTGGAAGGAGGCCATTTTGACAATGTGACAAAGAGGGAGTGGGGTTGCAAGAGAAGTGCCAAAGGTTAGGCAAAAGGTTAGGAAGAAAGTTCCAGCTGGTAGGGTAAAGCAGACATGTTACATCCAGACACTGGGGGAAGGGGGTAGATTGGAAAGAGCACCAGGGAAGTGTAAAAGCCCTGGGAACCCCAATGACTCACTGGTGACACAACCAGCTATAAAGGGGTGATGTAAGAGATCTGGCCAGGACAGACGCTGCCTAGGGTCCTTGGTGAGCAGTCCCTGCAGGAAGTTCTGTGGAGAGAAAAAATACCCCATGGGTCATCGCTTTCCTACAGACTCCCTCTAACTCACCAGCAGAACTAGGAAACCAAGACTCCTGAGTCCGTTCCATCAGCAAACTAGCTGGTCTTGATCACGCCCTCTCTAATCCTATCCTTAGGCCTCATTTAGCTGGCTTCAGGGAGAGACTTCTCTGCCTCACCTCCTGCAGAGCCCCAATTCCTGTCCAGAGACTTACTGTCACCTTCACAATCATCTTCAGAAAGCAAACATTCAAAAGAGTCTGAATTGCTCACTTTGCCCTCCCTTTGATTGCGGGTTTGTTTGCAGCTGGGTAGGACCAGAAGCATTGGTGGTTAAAAGCACACTCACACACAAGTCATTGTGTAAAGATGTGTTTGGGAGCACAGAAAAACAGAAATCTTTCAGCAAGTCTTGAGATGGCAGAAGGGAAGGGAGACTGCCTCTGAAAAGGGTGTATCTGTTATGGTGTATCCTTGGGAAAATCCCCAGTTGGGCCTAAAATAGGGATAGAAGGTACTGGTCGATTATGACCACTGTTCTAAAACAAGGTGATTAGTATATTGTGGCTCTTGCTGAAGATGCCTGCCTGTCTGCTCTAAGGGAGAATGAATATCCTATGTAGATCACCCACTTAAATTTCTTTTGCTTAGATTCTTTTTGATAATTATTTGAGCCTCCCCAACTAAATAGGTTAGGGAGAAACTTGTCCCTTTTCATCTTAGACAGGCCAAGGGAAAGTTATAATGAGACTGCACTCTGGGAAAAGGTTGCACTTAAATTCCATTGAGGGCCCAAATTTTGCCCTAGATAAGAAATAAAAAGGGTCAACTCTTTATTCTCCCTCCCTCCCTCACCTCCTGAGACTTAGCTGCAATCAACAGATACCACTTCTATCACCTGCCCCTAATCGCTGATCTAGCCCCACTAGCTCTGGCCATTTGGATTTCTGAAGATTCCTTCTTTCAGGAAGAAGACTAAGAAGTCTGTGGGCAAATCTAGATATCATGAGGACTTTGCATCTGATAGGAAGTAAGTGGAAGAGAGGATGTGTAAAAGGACAGTTTCTGTCTCTGGTGGCTTGAAACTACCTTACCATTGTGATAAAGAATAGCCTGCCCTGGGGGCAGCTGGGTGGCTCGGTGGGGTAAGCATCTAACTCTTGATTTCAGCTCAGGTCATGATCTCACAGGTTCGTGAGTTCAAGCCCCACATTGGGCTCTGCACTAGAGCAGAGCCTGCTTGGGATTCTCTCTCTCCCCTCTCTCTCTGTCCCTCCCCACCGTGTGTACGTGCTTTCTCTTAAAACAAATAAATAGACTTAAAAAAACACACACATGTATACACACATACATACATACGAATATATATACACATATATACACACACATACATATGAATAGCCCACTATGTATATGAATAGCCCGCCCCAAGGAGGGGCTGGCTGGTATTCCCAAATTCTGCAGAGTTTAGAACAGCCTCCCAGAATAAGCCCCTGCAGCAGAAAAGCAACGCAGCTTGGCCCAGCTCCCACATTAGTTCAGTAACGGCAGAGTCTTGCCCCAGATTTTGGAAAAGGGAACCAGGGCAGAGGAAGACAGGTTTCTAATGCAAAAGTAATCTCCCTTTCGACGTTCATTACCTTGAAGCAAGGACTAATGGTGGTCGGCCAGCGCACAGGGTCCTTGAGAATGAGGCTGACCAACTGAAAGATGCTGGTAGTGTAGAAGGGAGGGGTGCCCACAGCCAGCTCATACAGTATGCAGCCCACAGACCAGAGGTCTGCAGTGTGGTCATACGGTCGCTCTTCCACCAGCTCTGGAGACATATAAAGTGGTGTGCCTTTGATGGATGTCAGCACCATCGTGTTGGTGCTCATTGCCCTGGCAAATCTGCAGGAGATGAGGGAACAGAGTTGGGAAGAGAAAAAACATATTCAATAAAAACAAGGCCTATCATGGTGTGAGATATCCCAAACTCAAACAGAGAACACCTTCCAAAGACCCAACAGGAACCCCCAGTCTTTTAGCTCGGGTTCTAAAATGAGGTCCAGGTAAGTTAAGCATATGGTCGAAGACTCCTTGCAGAACTGGAAGCTGAGACAGAAGGTCAGGGTCCTCACCCAAAGTCACAGAGCTTGATGCCACCACCCTTGGCAAGGAGGATGTTCTGAGGTTTCATGTCACGGTGGAGAATGCGGTGGGAATGCAGATAGTACAGAGCGGACACCAACTGGGCAGCAATGGCCTGAACCTAGGGGTCAAACAGGCAGGGGAAGGAAAGGAGAGGCCAGAGGAAGGAGCCTACTGACGAGCCCAAAGACATTTCCCTAAATTACTGATGAGATCTTCTCTTCTTGCTCTTTCTTCCAGAGCTTCCCACATCTTCCTTAGCTCTTGACTCCCATTCACTCATTCTTTCATTTGTTCATTCACTCATTCAAGGAAAATGTATCGAGTCTCACTAGCTGTGACCTGGGATGGGCAAATTATCTCGTGCCTCTCATATGCATCATCTGTAAGCTCATGATAATAATACCACCTCCTTTATAGGATTATTGTGAGGATTAAACAAGTCAAAGCATGCCATGCTCAGAATGGTGCCTGGCATTTAGTAAGCCTTCAATATACATTAGCTGTTACTAAAAAAAAAAATTTTTTTTTGTTTATTTAGTTTTTGAGAGATGGAGCACAAGTGGTGGAAGGGCAGAGAGAGGGGGAGACACAGAATCAGAAACAGACTCCAGGCTCTGAGCCATCAGCACAGATCCTGACGCAGGGCTCGAACTCACAGACCGGGAGATCATGACCTGAGCCGAAGTCAGATGCTCAACTGACTGAGCCACCCAGGTGCCTCTACATTAGCTGTTATTAAACAAGACAAAGTCTTTTTTCTCAAGACAAGTAATCAGACAACAAACAAGACAGACAAAATAAGTACGATGATGACTTACAAATGACAATGCTTAGAAAGAAATGGATTGCTACAACAGGAAGTCCTGGGGGGGGGGGCTACTTGTTAGAGTACAGAGAAATCCCTAGAATGAGTGTGGCTGGAGAATGTGTTCCACCAAATCCCACTGCCAACCAGCAGGTCTTGGTGGTGAATCCTGCCTTAACAACAACTCTTATTCCCTTCCTGCCCTCTCTGGTACCACCACACGTGCTATCTGGTGACAGCAAAAGCATTAATAACAGGAATGTTGAATACTGTGCATCAGGCACTCTTTTAAATGCTTTATATGAGGGGTGCCTGGGTGTTTCAGTCAGTTAAGCATCCAACTTTGGCTCAGGGCATGATCTCACAGTTCATGGGTTTGAGTCCCACATCGGGGTCCATGCTGATGGTGCAGAGCCTACTTGGGATTCTCTCTCTCTCCTTCTCTCTCTGCCTCTCCCATGCTCAAGCTTTCTCTCTCTCTCAAAAATAAAAAAAAAAAATTTTAAAGATTTAAATGCTTTACATGAATTCATTAATCTTCACAATAGTCTCATGAGACAGACATTAAAATGACATCCATTTTTATTTTTATTTTTTTAATTTTTTTAATTAAAAAAATTTTTGTTAACGTTTATTTATTTTTGAGACAGAGAGAGACAGAGCATGAATGGGGGAGGGGCAGAGAGAGAGGGAGACACAGAATGGGAAGCAGGCTCCAGGCTCTGAGCCATCAGCCCAGAGCCCGACGCGGGGCTCGAACTCACGGACTGCGAGATTGTGACCTGAGCTGAAGTTGGACGCTTAACCGACTGAGCCACCCAGGCACCCCGATGACATCCATTTTTAAATGAGGAAACTGAGTGCTAAGAAGTTAAGGTAACTCGCCCAAAAGGATCCAGGTAGAAAGTGGCAGAGACAACTTTGTACTCAGAGATTTTGGCTCCAGTGTTCACCTACTTTACTGACATGCCACACTGTCTCTATATATACCTAGACTCTTATAGTTTCCTCAGGAGTTTTCAAAATGGAGAATCTCAGTGCCCTCAGCTTTTGCTACCAGTCCTTAATCTGAAAAGAGGTCAGGGTAGGGGACAAGTTTGAGCGAGGAAACATACCTGGTCTTCTGGAAGTTTTCCATCATCTTCCAAGATCTGAAAGAGCTCTCCCTCAGCATAGTCTGTCACCACCACCACCTGCAGGGAGAAGGCAATGGTACTGATGGCTCCAGATTTATGCATTCTGAGGCTGGGAAATTTGAGGGACCCTTCTTCCTGGGGAGAGGTGACCCAAAACTGAAGTGCACCTCTTTGTCAGTTTCAAAGCTGTCAAGCATATGCACAATGTTGGGATGCCGCAGACCCCGCATGATTTCAATCTCTCGTTGCAGATTCCTCAGCTCCTTCTCTGAACGTCCCAGTTTTGGAATGAACTTCAGGGCCACCACCTGTCAGTGGTAAGATGAAGAGTCAAGGCCTAACCATGCTATTGAAACATTCACCTCGGAGCTCCAGAACTCAGGCTTCAGATTGTTTGGGCAAATTCTCATTACCTGCTAGTCTCCTACTCCTCTTCCTTACAGTACCCTGGCCTTATCCAGACTCCCCCCACCTCTTGCCCTCGGAGAAAACAGCCTCTGCCAGACAGATCCCTTTGGTGGAATCTGGGAGAGGTGTTCTGATCTGGGTAAAGAACTCTGGGTAAAAATTTAAGAGATTTAGGGGAAAGAGAAGGAAGAAAAAAATGAAGAAGGAAGAATAAAGTTAAGGTGGTTTATCTCTTCCTGCGTGGTATGATAGACAATAACAATAATAAAAATAAAATTTATTGTTTACTAGGTGCCAGACACTATACTAATGTAGTGATTCAGCATGAATCATATTTAATCCTCAAGCCCCATCAATCAGATACTGTTCTTATCTTCTTTCTACAGATGAGGAAACTGAGACATTGAGAGTTTAAGTAACTTATCCACAGTTCTAAGGCTAGAAATGGTGGATCTAGGGTCTGAACCTAGTAATCCAATATTAGAGCACACACTCCACAAGAGGAATGACCGAGTCAGTGCCTTTGGAATACAGGTCCGTATTCTGGTCCCTGTAGAATCCCACCCAAGAGATATCCCTCCTTGTTCACCACCTGAGCACTGTATTTTCTTCGACCCTTGTACACCCTCCCAAAAGAGCCTTCTCCGATCATCTCCAACACGTGGTACTTCTCCATGACAGAGATTTCAGGATCCTTCAGATGGAAGGAGGTAGAGATGGTGGTGAAGGGCTACAGCTCCAGGGACAGCTCCACACATCTAGGAGGCCTGGGTCGGGCATAAAAGAAAGGTTCATGTTAGCCACCTTGCCTTTTCCTTTTTCATAATAATCCAGGCCTCAAAAACATGGTAGGGTGGAGTGGATGGAAAGATGAGATCTTGGGAGCAAACAGAGAGCCTCTTGTTCTCCCTCCTTTTCAACCTCCTTCTGGCCCCCAACCCAACCTCGTTCCCACCGAAACCCGTGCCCCACGCCCCTCTCCACGCAGCTCCGCCCACTCGACCGCTCCCCCTCTTCTTCAACCCAGCTTCTCCCCTCGGCCCCGCCCCCTCCGTCCCGCCTCGCCCACCCGACCCCGCCCCTTCCATCCAGCCTTGCCCACCGACCCCGCCCCTTCCAGTCTCCCCAGGTTCCTGCCACCGCCAACCTCCTCAATACCCCCGCCAGTGCCACCTGCCCGCGCGCTTCGCAGACCGGAGCCCCACTCTCACCCCCAGCCTAGGAGCTTCAAGCTCCTCAGGCCGAGGGATGCAGGCCCTGGCCTTCAGCCCCGCCCCTTCCGGCTGCCTATGGATTTTGCCTGACTTATAATTCTTCTCCACCCCCGCTGCCTTTCTCTTTAGACTCCCATTGTTACCACATGGGCTCGCTGGAACTGGTCAGAGAGGTTCAGAGGACAAAGGCTTTCAGAAGTATTGGAGAGTCGTCGGACCACCCATAGGCACTTTCTAGGGCACTTCCGATCCCTCTCTTGGCCATCAGGACCCACTAAGGACCTGGAGTCTATGGTTGCCTAGAAACGGCCCGTTACCCACCCTCCCTCGTTCCCTCCCTTAACCTGCCGCCTCCGACTTCCCCGAGAGTATTTCCGGTTCCGGCTGTGGGCCGGAGAAGACATGGCGGCGTCTGCGTCGGCAGCTGCCGGGGAGGAGGACTGGTAACTTTGGGGGCATGGGCTTTGGCTGGCCGCCTGGATCCGGTCCGGGGGACTGGCAGTGGCCGCGGACGGTCCGTATGGCGGGCGCGTGGGGCGGAGCGAGGGATAAGGGATTGCAGAGACGCTGACATGTCTCAGAGAGCTTCTGCACTGGGGAGCGGGAGGTGGAGGGGCGCTGATCTGATGGAGAGGAGACAGGATCTGCGCCGCCCAGGCCAGCTCGGGCTGCGCCTTGTCTGGCTCGATCCCCTCTTCTCCCCTGAAGTGGATTTGCCCAGGGTCCCGGAGGATGCCTGTTTATCAGCACACACACCCCCCCCCTCCCCGCCGCTTTTTACTTCCCAGAATGATGTCCTCCAGCTCACGTCCCTCTTTCCCCTTGGATCAGCCTAGTTCCGCCGAGGCTTTCCTCGACCTTCTCCCTCCCCGCCAGCACTAATGAGGACTATTGTCTGAATAAAGCTTTACACCTCACAAAATGCTCTCCTAGTCCTTCTCTCTCTCAAACGTTCTCAACAAGAGACCAAAACCTGGAAGGACTCTGGGATTTGGAAATAAGATAAATGTGGGTTCACTCCGCATTTTATTAGCTGGGTGATGCTAACCAGGCCACCTAGCTTCTGTGAGTCAGTGTACTCAGATGTAAAAAGGTGGGTGTGGCATCTACCTCATAGAATAGTTGAGAGAATCACGATGGATTTGTAACCTATATAAAAGCCTTCTTTTCATTAATAACTGAGGTGTGGGCACTAGATGGGGCATCTAGTGGGACTAGATGAGGCCTGAAGAGGCAAATCGGTTTGCTAAAAAGGTACATAGTTATGACTAGGAATCCAAGTTATCTGACTCCAAATCTTATGTTTTTAGGACTAGCACTCTTATGATCTCCCCCGCCCCTTTTTTTTTTGGCCACCACCTTACCACCATCCCATCCCATCCCTCACATCCAGGGCAAGTCACAGCTATGGTGGGGTGAAGTATTGAAGGGCCTCTTAATGGAGGTTACACGTCAGTGTTTCATTGGTTCAGGGAGCCCAGCCTGTGTTGGCCTTTATTGAGACCATCTAGGCTCATGGTTTTTCAACCCTCTTCAGGGGAACTTTAAGATTTGGAGGAGACACTTTGAGCCATGGAAAGGGTAGCAGTGGTTGCACAGCTGGCTTGTGATGCTCTGAGACTCCCACACTCATGTCAACCAAAGTACTCCACTGTTACCTATTTTATATTTTGAGGCTTAAAAAGAAAGTTTGAGAGCCAGTAATATATAGGTCATGCTAGGGCAGACCTGCTCTTGATGAAGAGGTAACAATAACTATAGAAAGGAGACCAAGAATGCATTTTTACATGCATTGCCTGGGTAGAGCTACGGACTCAACCCAGCCACTCATCTTCAATGGCATTACAACTGCTGTTTCTAGGATTAAATATGTATGTCCTCTCATTTACATTTGACCACCAGATCCTGACCTAAACAGGTTGATCTAGATCAGCCAAACAACAAGGGTCATGAATACATTGAATATTAACTACATCCTTCCTTCTTTCAAGGGAGAAAGTTATATACCAATAGGAGAAAAGAGGACATAGACTAGCTACTGTGGCCAAGATATTGTTAAGTACTGTACATAAATAACCTTTTATTCTCTAACCCTAGAGAGTAGGTGGTATTATATATGGTAGGTTGACTCAAGCTTACAGAGATAATTACTCAGATCATGTAACTGGTAAGTGACTGGTACCTGTTACTCCAAAGTTGGTGGCTCTTTTGTATCATGGCCTTTATCTCTTTTTCTTGGTATCTCTTTTTGAATAGGCTTAGGGTGACTGATACTGGCAGTATGTGTAGACACTGGGACCCATGTGAACAGTGGTGTAGGGAGATCCAGGAGCGGTATTGGTAATCAATGGACGTGATATTTCTGGGTCAGATAGATGGCCAATCAACAGTGCGATGGAACTTAAAAAGGAGGTCAGGGAACCTGGCTCTGGTTCTAGTTCTGTCTCTGTTAAACTTTGATATTTGAGCTAGTTATTTCACCTTCCTGGGAATCCATTTCCTCAACTGTTGACAGAGTAACTTCCATGCTTCCTTCCTGGCCACTTGACAGCTTAAAACATATTTCCCCCATTTTTATGGAGGTTAGCAAGAGAATGCACTCAGGTAGAGTGCCAGTTTTCTACAAAGCCAGCCTTCATTGGCTTTAGCAGGCTTTAACAGGGAGAGCTGTAATGGTGAGTCAATCTCCCCCTGTCTCTCTAGGGTACTTCCCTCTGAAGTCGAGGTGTTAGAGTCTATCTATCTGGATGAACTACAGGTGGTTAAAGGAAATGGAAGGTACGTATTCAACTAGAGGTGGGCAGGAGTCCCCTTAGTAATGAGAGGATTCCGTGGAGAATCCGTGAGCCTTGATCCAGAGAAAATGTTGCTCTCCTGGAGACAAAGACTATTCCTTTAATCTCCAAAAGAAAGAGCCCAGTGCTCACTTCCTCCACCCACTTTACTGTCTCACCTCCATTCTCCCCAGTCCTCAAACTCCTGCCTAGTCACATCCCAGGTCCCCACTTTATCCATTTGCAGATCTTCACCATGGGAAATCTACATTACCCTGCACCCTGCCACGGCAGAAGATCAGGATTCACAGTATGTCTGCTTCACTCTGGTGCTTCAGGTCCCAGCACAGGTGAGGCCCCTACTTTATGGTAGCAAAGAGAGGAAGGGGAGAGGCCCTGAGGTGGAGTGCTTTAGCAGTAACTTGTTATTCTCTCCCACTAGTATCCCAATGAGGTGCCACAGATCTCTATCCGTAACCCCCGAGGACTCTCAGACGAACAGATCCACAAGTAAGTTGGACAGTTCAGAGGAGGGAAAAGGAGATACAGCTCAGTCTGGTGAGGGGAGGGGGCAGGCCTAATGTTTGCTTTGCCCTTTTTAGGATTTCGCAGGCACTGAGCCATGTGGCCAATGCTGGGCTGGGTACTGCCATGCTCTATGAACTCATCGAGGTAAGAGGTGTCCTGGCTTGGGAAACTGCTAGAGCAGTTTCTCTCAAGGGAGGTAATGGGCCTAGAATCTTAAATATGTCTGGAGTCATTAATTTAGTCCTTGTTTAGGTAAGGCCTAAATCCAGAAAAATAAGGTTTTCTTCTGTTTCTGAGAATACCCCCCCCCCAAAAAAAAGACAGTTCTGTAGCTTCCCCAAGTTGCCTATGGCAGTATCTTGAAAATTACTTTTTCTCTTTAACTTGGATTTTTTTATTCCATTTCAGTGCATTCTCTTGGCATTGGTGGCTGAAAGTAGCAAGAGATAGGGGCCTTGCTTAGAGGATCTAGCCACAAATGAACATTTGAAGGCTCACCTGCTCTTGGAACTGACTGAGAAAATCATGGTTCAGAGTTTCTACCCCGATGAAATTAACACCACACAGGGAACACATAGAGCTACATGTTCACATACACAGATAATTTCTGTTGCTTGAGATTAAAAACACACAATAAGTACGGTCTTGTTTTCCTTAACTTCGAGTTTTGAGAAAAAATGTTTAGAAGAGAATGAAGGTGGGCGGCCCAGAGTCAGAGAGTGGGCTTAGACCATTGTAGCGCTCCTGAGCCCGGCCTCCACAATGCCACTTTGAACTTTGCAGAATTCCAGAGTATTAGCTATTCAGACAGCAGTGCAGATGTGTTAGTTCATTGCCTAACTTGATGCCTGAGTTCTCTGTCTGTTTGGGTTGTCCATGCTTTGACTTTCTTTCTGAAGGCTGACTCCAGAACAGACTTTTGGGTGGGAGTGATACTCAGAGGGGTTTAACCTAGGAACACCTCCCAGAAGATACGTTTTAATTGAACATTTTGTTCTCTGAAGGTGTATTACTTTCATCCCCGAGACATATTAAAAGTGATTTAATGAGTGGAAAAATAATGAAATTGGATTTTGCAGCTGGGTAGATTCTGGGGGATGGGCGGGGCCACGGAGGATTGATTCCTCCCTTGGTGAATCCTCCCTTCCTCACCAAGACAGAAACTCATGAACACAAAGTAACATTGACTTGATAGGAGACAGTCCCTCCAGTCACTCCTGGGAATAATAGACAGGCTTTGTTCACAGTTCTTGCCCCTGCCTCCCTGTTTGAACAGTGTCTTCTCTCCTTTCAGAAAGGGAAGGAAATTCTCACAGATAACAACATCCCCCATGGCCAGTGTGTCATCTGCCTGTACGGTTTCCAGGTGGGTTTCTCTCTTGGGACCTGGGGTCTGCTTGGGACGGGCAGTGGAGGGCTCATGAGAGCTCTGATGTCATGCTGGATGTCTGTCCTGCCTTCAGGAGAAGGAGGCCTTTACCAAAACCCCCTGTTACCACTACTTCCACTGCCACTGCCTTGCTCGGTATATCCAGCACATGGAGCATGAGCTCCAGGCGCAAGGACAGGAGCAGGAACGACAGCATGCCGCAACCAAGCAGGTCAGCTCCCCAGCCCCTGCTCCCACCTGACCCCCCGCGTCACACCCTTTCTGTCTCTCCACTCCAGGGGCTCTTCACCTTTTTAGGGTCACAGATACCTTTGAGGTTAATGAAAGCTCACCTCTGTCCAGAAAAAAAGGTCATTCTTTTAAACATATCTATGTACTGCTGTAGTTTCAGAGAGTTCCCACATCTCCATCTACGGAGACGACTCCTGTCCTATCCTTCACTACTGAACGGTGTACCTCTGCCCTTCATCCCAGCCCCGTGTGGATTAGGCTGGCTGACTGGGTTAGGCAGCTGGCGAGCACCATGGGCTGTGAAGCAGGGCTCTGATTGCTCCTCTGTTTTTAGAAGGCAGTCGGTGTGCAGTGTCCGGTGTGCAGAGAGCCCCTCGTGTATGATCTTGCCTCACTGAAAGCAGCCCCCGAACCTCAACAGCCCATGGTAAGGGAACCCCCTTCTCATCTGAGCCAGAAATAATGGCATTCTCCAAGGAGGGAGGGATGGCATCTTGTCCGCTTCGAATGGGGTCTTGGGAATTGGGCTTGACCAGCCTGGGACCTCTCTGCAGAGCCGTAGCCCCCACTAGGCTAAGACTTTGGGAGCCCCATCTGAGCGACAAGCCCAAGAACCTTGTACAGGGGGTGCCTGTGGCTCAGCCGGTTGAGCATCTGGCTCCTGATTTCAGCTCAGGTCATGGTCCCAGGGTCATGGGATTGAGCCCTTAATCAGGGCACTGCATTGAGTGTGGAGCCTGCTTGGGATCCTCTCTGCCTCTGTCCCTCTCGCTCGCATCCTCTCTCTCTCAAAGAGAAAAAAGGAACGTTGTGCAGATTTCCTGAGGCAATCCTGAAAGAGCAGGGGTTCAAGTCTGCCTTCTACTGTTTATTTTTTCCTCCTTGTCATTCTGCTCGCTTCCCTCTAGGAGCTGTACCAGCCTAACGCAGAGAGCTTGCGCCAGCAAGAAGAGCGCAAGCGGCTCTACCAAAGGCAGCAGGAGCGGGGGGGTATCATCGACCTTGAGGCTGAGCGTAATCGGTACTTCATCAGCCTCCAGCAGGTGAGGAAAGGCTTTCTCAGTCCTCACTTAATGCCACCTACCCTCCCACCAGCACGCATCTGCCACTGTGGCCCTGAGGGTGAGCTCTCTTCTACCCTTAAGGCTGCTGGTGGTCAGCTCCAGTAGTGAGCAAGGGGCCTGCAGTTCCCCGCTTTGGGGAACTGCGTCTCCCTCACTGTATCTGCTCACTTCTTTCTAGCCTCCTGCCCCTTTGGAACCAGAGTCAGCTGTAGATGCCTCCAGAGGATCCCACCCACCCAGTGCCCTTGACACAGAACTGTCCACCTCATCAACTGCCCAACCCGACCTATCAGCTCCTCTGCCTGTGGCCTCCCAGCACACGTGTGAGAAGATTCCAGGGGCTGGGCCAAATCAGCAAAGGTTGGGCGAGACCCCGAAAACTATGCTAGATCCTCCCCGGGCCGGTCGAGGCCCCTGGAGACAGCCTGAACGGAGGCACCTAAAGGGAGGGGAGTGCAATGCCCACAAAGGTACCAATGACACCCAGGAACTGCCACCTCCCGAGGGGCCCCTCAAGGAGCCCATGGACCTAAAGCCAGAACCCTGTAGCCAAGGGGTTAAAGGTCCTCCCCAAGAGAAGGGGCCTGGCACTTGGCAGGGTCCCCCACCCCGCAGGACTCGGGACTGTGCTCGCTGGGAGCGCTCCAAGGGTCGGACTCCGGGCTCTTCCTACCCCCGCCTGCCTCGGGGTCGGGGAGCCTATCGTCCTGGTACTCGAAGGGAGCCCCTGAGCCTGGAGTCTGAGGATGGTTCCTAGCAGTACTGTGGGGGGACAGGGATTTGGGGCGGCAGGGGGCAATAAAGAGATCTGGCCTTGTTTGGCTTCTTTGTTTAGTAGCGCCTAGCTTGTGCAGTATGGCTTTTTCTGACTTCCTGGCAAGACTGGAATGTGGCAGAATAGCCCTCACTTTGCTCTAAAGTCTGTTTTCCCAAGAGATCAGGGTCTGAGTAAAGGCAGGTCTGATGTCTCTGCTAGTGTGAGTTTCAGGAAAACTAGTAGAGGCCAGCCAGCATTTAAGCAGAATATATGGGAACATAACATACATATACTATGTACACACACACACACACATTTTTATGCATATGCATTCTTTTTAATTGAATGCCTTTTAAACGGAAGACTCTACTTCCCTGATTGCCATACTATCTTTTCTCTCTGCTTTGCCCTAGCTTATGCCCCAACACTTGTGTATGCTGGATGCCTGAAGGTCCTTGCTTTTTATTCAAGTACCAATACAGGGAGGTAGGAAGGGGGTCAGAGACCAGAGCGGTGTGGCAGGTGTTTATTGAGCTAGAGAAGAGCTGAGCATGGCCAGCCTGTCACGTCCTCAGAGACTCGGCATTATGAACTGCCCCTGCAGGGTCATTTTTATACAGCATGAAGTAGCCCTGGACCTGGGCAGGACTGATCTGAGTTGTAACTTGAAGGACGCGTTCTGCAAAGGCCTCGGCCAGGGAAGGTGCTTGCCCTGGATAGAACCTCTGGAACATCTGAGTCAGCTGCCAGTGTGAGCAGTAGCCCACATACTCCTTCATGTCTACTCGTCCAGGGCGGATCAGTGCAGGGTCCAGCCTAAGAGCAGCAAAAGCAGGATCACAGGCCCAAGTACCACTGCTACCCCCTAAAATGATGGTTTCTCTGAACCTCCTGATCTCCCAAGGCACCGAGGGGGCAGGGAGTCCTGCCTCAGTCTCAGATTGCCTCATCCCTTCTTACCTGTCAACATGGTTGGTGGTCATGAACACAATGCGTGCCTCAGTGGAAGCCACACCATCCAAGGCATTGAGCAGTCCACTGAAGGTGAGACGACCTAGACCTTGGTACTTGACTGGGTCTAGAGGAAGGCAGAGATAAAGAGACGTGGATGATCATAACCCTACTTAAACCTTCTACTCCCCACCACGTTCCCCTACTTATCAGTGACTCTTGTGAACTCTCGTTGCCAACTCAGGCGTCCTCCATCAGCCCTCTGGATTTCCACTTTCTTCCACTGCTCCTCACTCCTGTACCTCATTTACCGTCACTTAGAAATGCTCCCCATTTCCTCAGCTCCCCTCACTTACTCTCTGCAGCTAGGTCCCGGCTAAGAAAGGCTGCATCCACATCTTCCAGGAGCACCAGGCTCTGCTGCGGGGCCACGCTCAGCAGGTGGTTGAGCCGGTCATCGGAGAGGCTGGAGTCCGTGAGACTCAGCAGGCAGATGCTGTGCTCCAGTTCCCCAGCCAGGGCTGTGCTGTGGAGGACAGGATGACAGCAGGCAGGCAACCCGAAATCAGTCCTTGGGCCCAAATACTTGTCCTCCCCATAATGGGTGGGGTCTCAGAGACCTAACCCTTCTATCACTCCATCTTAAGGCATCTCATGTCCTACGTGTATCATGTTCCCGGGTCTCCACATTTAATTCCCTTTCCAACCCCACAGCTCAGTTTTTCTCCAGTTTAATGATTAAGAGAAAATGTGACCCTACTCACATAAAACTGCTTTTTCCACAACCAGGGGGCCCATAAAGCAGGTAGCCACGTCTGTAGGGAATGCCTAGGAATACAGCCAAGATGATCAGGGCCTAAAATGAATTCAAGTACTCTACTTCAAATGTCCACATTCATTACCAACCCTGCCCCCTAGTGGCCTGATGACCTCAGTACTGGAAGAAATTAACCCTGGGGGCCAACTTTCATCTCTGGGAATTAAGCTAGAGCTTCATATTCATCCCATATGACCACAGAGACCAGCCTGTTTTCCCTTACTATAGCACCACATCAAAAACAGCCTGGCCAAGACCCCAGCGGCTTCTCACCTCTGTCAGTGTACCACTTGGGGTTATCGATGAATTCCCGGATGTCTCGGACAATTCGGTTAGCCAGACCCTGTTCTAGAACCACAGAACTCAGTGGCCGCCGTCGGCGTGGATAGCCAAAAGGGCGCCATTCAGAGCCCATGGCTGTGTACATCACCGTCTTCCCTTCCTCCTGCTGCAAGGCTAGCTCTCGAGCTAAGGGGGAAATAAGACAAAGCCAGTAATTCGTCTTTGCCATGCTATTAGGCAGACCTGTGCCAAGACAGCTTCCCTCTGGTCTCATGGGCTAAGATCCTCCTCTCCAAGCTTCTCTTCCTCTGACGTCATATGCCCCTATTCTTGCAACTTGCCCCCCCTCCCCCCTCGCCATAAAGGCAGCCCGTGCTATCCCACACCTTCCTCCAGGATGTTGAAGAAAACCTTTCGGTCAGTGCCCAGAGCTGTGAAGGTGACAGATTCCCAAGGAGTCCCTGTCTGCAGGTCTATCATCTGCATCTCTCGGCTTCGTTCCACTCGGATCCATTTCCCTTGGTACCTGAATAAAAATGGTCACAATGAGGTGAATGAATGGGGGGGTCAAATCCAGCTCCTCTCATTCCCCTTTCTACTCTTAGAGCCCTCCCTGGCTCCCAACCTTACCAGATAAAGTGGTTTCCAGGGCTGGGGACAAATTCAAACTTAGTGGAGATGCGCCCACTCTCATGCTGAAGGTATGAAGTCTCAACACTGAGATGCTGAGTACGGGTACTGTGGCGGGTGAGCCAGCTAAGCAACCAGGCATAGCTTCGGTCTCGAGCAGGGACTTCCAGTGTGATCATGTAATGGCGCCGGAATGCCACCAAGCCCAGCTGGGCACCCTTCCGGGCCAGGGCCAGGGCTGTGCCCACACCCACAAGCCCAAATCCAGCCCCAAAGTAGGGATTGTCCTTCAGGGCCAGAATAAAGTCTGAAAGGGGCATCTTGAGAGGGAAACACTGAACCTTACAGGCTCTGACGCATTTTCAAACCTGGGGGTGGAGAGTAGTGGAGATGGGACAAAGCGGATTAGTTTAGAAAGGACTCTGCAATTCCTCGTCACCCTCATCCCTTCTTCCCACAGAGGCCAGGTGCAGGAAGGACAGGTCAGTTCTACTGTGTGTTTCCATATCCTCCCTTTGTGGGATGGAGGTCCTGCTGGAATGCAAGGGCTGAGACTTCAGGCCCCTCTTCCCATTTTGCCCTTCATTATCCTGTTCATAGTTCAATTTCCTGCCAGAGGACGAGGTCTAAAGATTCCGTAAACATGAGAGAACAATGTAACCATCTTCTCATCAGGATAATGGGCAGAATTTTTGTGGTCCCTGGGACTAGCTGAGATAGAAAGGGGCCCACTGCCCAGAGTTAACAGAGGATGAAGCTACTCTCTTCCACTGACCTGTCAGTAACCCCATGCCTTACCACCATGAGTAATACCCTTCAAATATCCTCTCCTTTACATGCTCAATTCCTAATATCCTGTTTAGTTAGCCCTTTATTGCCTCATGACTAAACTGTCTCTTTAAAATTAATTTTAGTTCTTAAAACGTCATCTTAATGGGCCTCCACCTCTGGCTTTGGCGTACCAAATTGCTACACAGGGATCCAGAGCTTTCTTCATACAGTCTGCTTCAATCCAATGGCTTGTTCTGAACAGATCCCTGAATTAAGTAAAAATTAAGTAAAAACTCCTCTGCCTGGTACTCAAAACCCTTCACAACACAGGGCCTACCTATCTTTCATTGCTTAGCGCCTAATAATCTCTGTTGTATAATTCTGCTCAGGCAGGTCTTCTCTACTCGGAATCCCCATTCTAATTGACTCTTCCTTCTCCCCCAATTTAACACCTGTCCATTTGCTGCTTCCTCCACGGACATTTTCCCCGAATTCTCCCCCAATAAAACGTGACCCAGTCTAATTTTAGATTGTAAGGTCCCGGGGGATTGGAAGTCACATCGTTTCTAGCACACCTTCCCGACCCCTGCCACTTTGCTGTGCGCGAGGCACGCGGGACGGTGAACTGACAGCCGAGACCACGGCTGAGGCTCAGAGTAGAATCCAGAATGCCAAAATACTTATGCGTGGAAGGCCACAGACAAAGCCCTTCCCCCTCCCGTCCCTTGTCTGACGCCCAGAAGTCCCTTCCCGAACCCTTTCCACACCCCAGCTCGCGCCTCCAGCAGCGTGGCTCGGAGTTACCCCTCACTCCGCCCCCTTACCGCCATGACTCTCTGGCCCTCCCTCTCGATGGTTTCAGCCCCCGGCACTCCAGGGACGCGCCGCTCGGCCCCGCCCCGGCGTTCCTTCACCTACTTCCCGCCACACCCACCTAGCGGGCCGTGCCACTCTGCCCCACAACTCTCGATGGTATTCCTTGGGCCGCTCGGCTGGGAAAAGGGGCAAAGGGAAAACGCCGGAGAAAACCATAGAGTACACCGCCAGCCGACGAGAGGAAGAGAGAGCGGCCTCCATCGGCCCGAAGTCCTAGAGGCGGCTGGGCCGGAGGCGGTCGCACAAAAGGAGTCCCGGGAGGCCGCTCCAGCAGCTGGTGGACCATAGAGAGACACAGCTCCCGCCGGCCTTGGCCCGGGAGGTGAGTTAGTGGCTGCAGGTAGAAACTAGTAGGGAGTGTTTGTGGAGCGGGCCGGAGGCAAAAGTTTCTCGAACCCCAGGATGAGGGTGGGCCTGGGCGGTGGGAATCCCCTGGAGGAGGTGCTGAAAGAAGCACGCCGACGGTCTGGGCCCCGGCGCATCACAGCAGCCGTCCCGGTGCCTCAGCCGCGTCACTGCTTTGGATCCCGCCCGGTTGCCCGCTGCCTCTCCTCAGGACCATAATCATGACGATGCTCCATCCCAAGCTTTGCAGGTCACAAAACGGCTTTCCCATTTGCTGGCTCTTGTGATTGCCGCTCCCGCCCAACGATGTGGACGCTGTCATCACCTCCACTTTACAGATAGGAAAGCTGAGGCCCTGGGAAGCGAGGTGACTGTATCTATCAGAGGCCACGCGGTGAGTCAGAGCCC